CCTATTAAGCTTAACTGTCAGTACAGTTAAGTAGCGATCCTGCTGTCTATCCCATAAAATAAGACGCGCGATTGCTTCAGTCGATCCGTAAGGATGCGTCTGGTGGAATTTATCGGTGTATCGGTGTCCGCATCGTGCACCGGGTATCGCTTTCGGCGGCGGACGAAAGCACCGGTTAGATTTCGATCGGGTACCGAAGCAAGGCTTTTGATCGGCACCTCGCGGCCGACCACCTCCCGCCCCCTCTAAATCATTCTTAATCAACCGCCATCGCTTATCTGATCGCAAGGGCTTCGCCGTGCTCGTGTCATTATACGGCAATTTACCCTGCAACACGGCCACAGAGAAACCCACCTTGGTTTGCAAGGAGACTTGGATTCGATTCTTCTGAAGCAGCGAAGTTGACTAAGGCGGTAAAAGGAGACGGTTGGTGTGGTTGCAGCATCGTCGACTTTCCTCCGCATAATCTGGATAAATAAGACACCTTTCGTCATAATACTTCTGATTTTTCAATTGATAATAAAATTCATGTACCTGAGTTAGATATATAAAGAGAGTTATTTATATAAGACCTTCATAATCTGATTCGATTTGAAGAAGTATAGTTTTTACAGTTTTATCTAGCATCTCCCGCTGGGTTGACACATATAGCTGAAAGCTAGTAGATTCGGTAGCATGTTAACACATTAGAGGAATCTAATTACGAAACGGTGGTAGAAATAGAAAAAAATGAATAGACATAATGTATGTTTCCTATGACGACGAATAAATTATTATTTTTTATTATTAATTGATCAACTATCGAGTCTAGTTGCACAGTGTTGATAAGCTGTCTGGTATTTGGTTTGTGGAAAGAAAGAGGGCTGAGTGGTGATGTGAGGATATTTTAAATTTAGCATTTTAATTTAATTGATCCTTTGCAGATTCATTACACGCCAGTTCACCATGCGTTTGGTTGTGAATGACAAGGTCGCGAAGAAGTCTTCATGTAACTTTGCTTATATGTGTGTTGTCCGTTATTTTGCCAAAGAGGTGGATTTATTTGAACACTGTTATATCATCTACAATATTAATTACTTTTTTACCACCTCCAGACGTTTATTTTGGAGCAAACTTTGCAACGGCTAAATTAATGCAATAATTTTATTAATACACATCCCCTTTGATACAGATCGGTTCCTCGGGCGACTGAGACCGGCGCACATTCGCGTGGCACGTTGTAATTTAGCCACGCCAAGGTGTTAATGCAGCCGACGCCGGGGCGAAAGCGTATCTCTTGCGAATGGCATGATATCGCGATGCTTATCTCGGTGCCACTTTGTTGTACGACCCGTGGTGGGATTCATACGGACGTTGGTGGATACAATTCTCGCTCTTTATCTAATTGGGGTAGACAAGTAGTGTCCTACGTTAAGTTTATATTAGCATTGCTGGATAAAACTTCTTGCTCTTTATCTAATAGGAGATAGGTACTGAACGTTCGTTGATTCCTTGTCATCACCTCTTATTAAGGTGACAAGCAGTGAGCCCGACGTCTTAAGTAATTGGTGCTCATGCAAATACCTGAAGTAACACTGCACACGCTAAACGCTAACTGTTGATATATAAAAGTTAGTCAGAGTAAAAAAATCTCAGTACTGACATTTTTAGTATTTCTTTCACATTCTTCCGCGCTCGTTACCGCCTGATTCTTGTTTTGATTTTAATAATTATCAGGCGGTTGTACATTGAAGTATTTTTACGTACAAAATAACTAATATTTTTTTATAATTAGGCGAAAAAACGAAAGTAGGTCACTAGCAGGTCGCAATTTGAGAGAAAAATGAATTGCAATCAATTAACAAAAGTGCCTTACTGTTTTATTTAAAAAAAATTATGTTAACACCCTTTTATTTATGTAAATAAAGGGCTGTTAAAAGCAATAAAATAATAGGTTGTTAAAAAGAGGATCTTAGTAGAAATGTTTCAACATTTGATCCTCACAATAGCATACTAATTAACATTATAACGAGTAACGAAATATTGGAGTGGTTCTCGTTAAGAATTTGGTGTTTGTGGGGGAGGTGGGTAGAGGGGGGGGGGGGGGGGGTGCGGTGCGCCGCTGGACATCTCAATAAGAACCGGCAATTAGTGGTCCATTAATAAGCGCCCCCGCCCTCCTATCACACCGACCCCTGACTTATGAGGTCAGTTGGTGAATCTAGACGCCTCAACGAAAGAAATATTGTGGACAGGCCCTGCCTTAGAGTTGGGATTTTTCGGGGCAACGGCCACACGTATGGGTTCCGCTGTTGTAAAATGAACACAGACAGAAACTGTCGTGAAGAGGAAATATTATACTTCTGCGTTTCATCTGGCGAGTGTGGTAACTCGGCTCACTATTGCAATCACTCAGGGGTTGTAGTTGTCCACGAGCGGTGGCAATCATTTAACATAAAAAGGTTGGTAACAAATAGACTTCATCGAAATTACAGCTCAGAAGTCTCCTACTTCATTCGTTTTCGTTGCTTAGTGGTTTTGAATTTTCGTTGCGCGCACTGTAGTCTGGTGGTCTGTGCTGTGGTGCGCATAAGATAATAGTCATGTACCTTATTACTGACGCCTCTGCTTTACTTTTTTAACAATCATCTTAGTAATTCTTCATTCTTAGTAATTAATTTGAACAATATTTCTCATCGATCCTCATGACCTAGAGCCAGATGAAGCGCTACTTTCGACCACACTCTGAGACTTGATTTCAAAATTTTGCTGGCGTTAAATTCTAGAATCTCAATGTCCTTTGGTCTCACTAACTGGCAGAGAAACATCGGTGCATAAATAACGTGCATCGCATCTTTCCTAGAAAATTTGCCACGTCCACGCAAAGCGAATGCAGCGGACCGATTCGCTAATAAAGATATTCGGCCAGTATCTCGGCGTCAATAAATATGGCGCCTCCGCCCGCGGCCACCCCGCGCCCGTTCTTCGCCTGCTTTGTTAAGGAATCGATGCGCGTCAGGTGATTTACTAACCAGTTACTACATGATAACGGACGTGGTTGTATACACTTGAACCGTCAATTAAATTTCTAAAACTTTGTTCAGGTATTAAACCGCTAAACTCACGTTAAATCGTTGGATGTACCGACTAGTTCCAATCTAACGGAGGTTTTTTTTTTTTTGGATTTTATGGCCCGGTATCAAGGACCTTTAGGCCAACTAAAGGAGGTTCTTTATCAGGGTGAGTATTGTATGCGTGAGAAGTTGAACTTTCAATGTTCAAAAGTATCTAACTAACAACTTGTTTGACCAAATCTCCGCTTCGATTCATATTTGATACATGACAATTTATAAATTTTAAAGTTTTTTTTTATAGTGCTAATCTCTGCACTTAATTTTATATCTGCACTTCTTTAAATTGTCATGTTAAAACACTTTCTACATGTTTTAACATGACAATTTTCATAGAAGAGTTTACAATAAGTTAAAGTTACACATTCGCTTGCTGACAAATCCAGTATCTTGAACACTGGTCTCATTAAAACTTTGTTGTTATTGATGAGCGATAATTGTTCTAGATCAGAATGTCTATCTATATAATTTTGGCTTTTTTATAATAGAGAAAGTGTTCACCTTACTGCATGGTAGGTGATTACGAGCGCCTCATGGGCATCGACAAGTGCTATAACATAGTAGTGGTGGTACCAATTGTTAAGATATAATATGAAGATATGGGCTTCTTTATGCAGATCTTTAATGTTAACCTAAAAGAACCTTTTAAAATCTATTTGTAAGAAGACACTCCGCTCAAAACGGTACATTATTCTCTAATGGAGAAATGGTTGAAAAAGGTCGTTAATTACCAGTCAAGCGTTCAGTTCTCCGTATAAATCATCTGCTATACCAGTATAGCAGACGCTTAGGAAGGTAACCGGGCCGCGTCCGTCTCGGGTGCAGGTTGCCCATTGCTGCCGATTCCTGTGCCGGCCCTCGCATTTCCAAGCGCTAATCACTCTATGCCGCCTCGATTGAGCAATTACGACCAATCGCCATTCGTTAGCCGCGATTCTGGAGCGCTTAGCGCTTCACAGTTTCTTTCCCGCGCATCAGCCGCGGACGCCATTTTGTCGTGAACGCTAGTGATATAAGATGGCGGCGATCGATGCACTTTGAAGACCGGCGTGAAGTGGAAGTATAATACTTCCCCGATTCGTCTGGTGAGCCGGGGTCTGGAGTGAGTCTGGGTAGCCGGAGCCCAATTTTCAAAACGTTGTCATCTGCAACGCTCTGGTGTAGCAGATGCCCATGGGGCATCTTTTATGCATAAAAAAAAGTACTTCCAATAAATTTAATAAGAAATAAATTACTACAGTCATTCTGTTAGTACCGTGGGCGTATCTTAAATAAATAGAAGAAAGAAAAATATAAAAAATCTAATATATAAAATTCTCGTGTCACGGTGTTTCTAATTGAACTCCCCCGAAACGGCTCGACCGATTTTCATGAAATTTTGTGTGCATATCGGCCAGAGTGGAGAATCGGAGAACATCTATTTTTCATCCCTCTAAATGTTAAGGGTGCTCCACCTCTAATTTATTTTTTTTTGTATAAAATTTTTTGTTTTTATTTTTTATGATACAGCATACCAAAATACATACAACCCTAAATTTTCACCCCTCTACGCAGACGTAGTCGCGGGAAGCAGCTAGTAACAAAATAAAACAGACACTGATCTTCGCTGCTGTCCTTTAATGTTTTTGCAATCGGCGACGCATTATAAGGACATATCGCACAAGGACGGCAACGGAGCCTCGCGGCGAGGGCATCCTTACGGAGGCGGCCGCGCAGGCCGATCAATCTCTCTCGTCCGATAAATTCTCGCGGGCCGTTCGCGCCAAAAAACGCTGAGGAGCGTCCGCGCCGCCGCCGATTATGTCATTAGAGCGGCGGCGAAAAAAAAAAAGCGGCGAAAGGGCAACGGGCATCCGATGATACGGCGCAATTAGACGCGGCCGCGATCGCATGCCGCGCGTTTCGTTCTTTGCCCGATCGGGGCCGCGCGGTTTTTCCCGCCGTAATTGGCCCAGCGCCTATTTCGGCCGCGGAGCGCCTAGCCGCGCGGGGGCTTGCCCTCCGATGGCGCGGTTCGCGTTCGGCATTCGCGGGCGGCGCGTTGATTGCGCTTCTGGCGTGCACCTTTTTTCGTCGACATTACCCTTGCTGCGGTACAGGGAACTGTGTTAAGGAAGAGAGGAGGGGGCCGGGGTTCGATTAATTTTATTATTTCAAGGTCGTGCAGCAACCGAGTCATCATTTTGTCTTTATTTTTTTTAATTACCTCTTCAGTAAGATGGACAGAGAGACCTAGTTGGAGGCCTCTGCCACGTGGCCTATGTGTTTCATAATTTTTTTTAATCTATAATATTTTAATTCACACTGTATGTGTATAGTATACGAAACATATTTGTTGTAATGTAACAGACTTATTGTTACCCAAACTTACGCGAACCTGGAATTACGCAATTTTCAAATGTCGTCGATTCGTTTTTTGTTTAACGTTCAATTACTGCTAGATTCCTCCTGGTTGTAAGGAGTCGAAACTTATTATTGATGAGCTGAGAAAATATCGACTCCAACGACAAAACTATTAGTATGCTACTACGAAATATTGTGTGCAAAATAGAGCCAGCAGACTATTTCTTAAATTTCACGAATTTAGAAATTTAAATTTTAACTTAATTTAACTCAGCAGACGTTAGTGTGCTATTGAGTTATCCAAGTTAGAAGATAGTGACTATTTGTGTCATCTAAGATTTTATATACACATTGCTCCAACTGAAAATAATTTGTATGTATTTATAATTTAATTAATAGGTCGTAAACTATTTATGTGCATCTCGTTCAAATTTTAGTTCAATTTCAATTATTATCAATCTCGCCTATCTAAACGAGCTATATGTCGTTAGCGCTGAATCAGCACTCTGCTCGTTTCAGAATCGAATCCAGGAATCTTTGTCTCTGCTCCTAAGGCGTGGATCCACTGAGTCACGCGTTCAGCAGTTGGTATTAATTGCCTATCAGGATCAAACACGACAAATAAATACATTGCCATTAAAATTTAATTGAGCGCATGCATACCCTGGCATTTAATGAAATTAACGAGATACTATCGCAAACGGTAATTTATACGCACGTAAAGAGGTTTTAATTAAAAAAAGAAACATATGACCTTCCACTTCAAAGTGATGGTCGAAAACCGGGATAGTTTAATTTGTCTCGGCGATAATCGCATACACGCTTCTTGGACGAATATGACTCTTCGTTTGTGATTGCTCCTGATTCTATTTGTTATTTTTTCTCCGGTAAACTGCTCTGGTATATGAATAACCTACTGTTTTGCGGAAGGTTCCAATGTGCGTAACAGTAGATGTCGACGCGTTTGGAAGCAGTCTAACTCCAAGAGATTGGAGGTATATCATTTGGCGGTATATCACTCCACGGTCTCTCCTTAAAGTCAAGTTAGGTAAGCCTCTAACCTTTTTACACGCGGTCCTTTTCGTTATTTGGTACGTCAGTTAAGGATTGTATTAATTTTCATCTTCTGTCTTCGCTGTCAACATTCCTCTGCATCTGTCTCCTTGTTGAATTTAACTTGTTGTAAAGTAACAGTGACTGTCGCTGATCATTTACAGTCTACGGGTAAACCACCGTTCACCACCATCTAGTATGTGGTGATGACTCGGTGGCGCAGTTGCCAAGTTCGGTGTCGGGGTCTGTGGGGTCGATTCCCACACGGGACTATTGGCGTGACCCACAGATAATTGTTTCGCGTCTGAGTGTTTAACGTCCTTACAACACTGGACAATGTTATCCTAAAGCAAGCGATACTTATGTAATTTTTATACATTTCTGTTGAGTATCATCTTATTTAAAGCTAAATTTTATTTGTCATTTCTATTTACTAACCATTTTTTTCGATTATACGAAAAAAAAAACTTAATGTACTGAAGACTTACTCGATCCATTGAACGAGATCGAGTAAGTCCTCAGTAAAAGAAATCCTCTTGTCAACTCCCCCCCTCCTCCCATGCGTTCTTTAAATTCTACGCGTCGACGCACAACACGCATCAATCGCACGGTTCCAATAAGGCGTAACGCGGAACCCTAAAAGGCATGGAGAGGTGTTAAAAGGAGAACAGTGGGCGGACGAACGCGCCATTAGCTTTATGGAAAGCCAATAAATCTGCATATATGTAGATGTACGGGACGCTTGTCGCTCATCTGTGGCATCGTTGGCAACTGGTACGTAATGGCTTCAATTAATGACCTGCTAATGATGCCGCGCCGTGTGAAAATATGGCATCACTATTTCTAATAAAAAAAAAAACAATTAAATAACAGCAAAGTAACAGCCTATGAATGTCCCACGGCTGGGGAAAGGCCTCCTCTGTAGGTATTAGGGTATAGTCCACCACGCGATCCCTCTGCGGTTTGGCAGATTTCACATATCTACAACATTTTTCTTAGTGAAGTAACAGCCTATTATATATCCCATTTCTGGGCAAAGGTCTTCGTGTACAGAGGGTTTTAGGTCATAGTCCACCACGCGGCCCCACTGCGGATTGGCGGACTTCACATATCTTTGAAATTTTTTTTTGTTATTATTGCGAAAATATGTAGGTTTCCTCACTATGTTTTCCTTCACAGCAGAGCACCTTATATGTCAGCACTTAAAATTAACAAATTTCATTAAATTTCAATTTATTAAATTTCATAGGTGCCACCACCGGGATCGAACTCAGGTTGCTCGAGTATATTGAATTAAAAGCGAGCACCCGGACATTAAGCTATCACGTTATTATTACGCAAATGTGAAGGTTTAGTCACGATTTTCTCGTGATAAATCGGCACTTAAAATTTTTATTAACATATATGCTCGAGACCCATTTATTTAAGTGATGCCCTGTGTTTACTATATCGATAAAACAGATAAATAAAAAGTTTACAAGATTGTGAACAAAAAAGGCGAGTCGAGCGTGCTTTCAGTCGAATCATTCGACCGATTTGATTTTGCTTCGCTGGAAGCTCCGATGCAACAATGTTGTTAAAAGGGTTTGGAAACCGACAGTTGATGGTGAACAGATGTGGTCAACGTTAACAATTACAATAAATAATCATTGTTGTATTAGTCGTGACCTCCTAATAGTTGGTGTTGGTCCTTCCTGGTCACATAAATTTAAAAATTTCCAATTTAGAAAAAAACGACTTAGAGTAAAGACCTTGAGGAGCATGGGTTGGCTGCAGAATCAAGGTCCAGAATAAAGGCTGCAGAATAAACATTAACTTTTTTTTTGTAGAAAAGGTTGCTGCTTAGTTTAATTTAAAAGATAAATACAATAATAATGGTTCATACTTTCAAGTTTTAATAAATTAATTGTTACTCTAAATGAACAATAAAATTCTTAAAATAAAATTGTTGTATCTACTAATGTATCTATAATTTTAGTAATATATAATTTGAATTAGAAGCGGACTAGACAGGTAAAAAAGATAAAAAGTGCATATTTCGTGCATTGTTAGAGTATCTGGCGGTTGCAAAGCAGTTGCAAGGTTCGGAAAGCGCAGGTTGGAAATTAGGCAGCCGCGAAAACATTTTTGAAGCTATACATCTTTTGGTGCGTTTGGGAAAAGTTATGAGAGTGAATTTTTACATAATGATGAGATAAACTCTTTTTTGACATTTATGTACTGGCACACGGGACAACATTTTTAGTTATTTATCTTTAGTTACGCTAAAAAGTATAACTTCTTACGTGCTTACACACATATTTTTTTTTTCATAATTTATGTACACATTAAATTTTACCTTACATTTGTTGACAACTACTTAGTCGACATTTTAGCATATAAACTTCCTTACTCAATTGCCGACAATAAGCACGCAAACTGGCAGTGTGACGGTAGTGGTGACCATCACACCATCGGGTGAGTTACTGCGCACAGTTTGCCCGTTGTTTGTTGCGGGTAAAAAATCATTCGCGCGGCGGGTTCAAGGGACGCTGCCAGGCCAAGTAGCCGCGACCGGTCCTGGTGTTGGTTGGATATCAATGAATCGTCGCCGCGGTGGAATAATAGCGTTTAGACTTCTAATTAAATGTTAATAAACAAAAACCGCGGTGTTGGGGCGCGGCGCGAGTGCACGCGAGTAGGCGGGAGCGAAAAGCGGGTTGCATTGGAAATTATTTATACACTTCCTGAATTTGTCTAGCTGTCATATAGATATAAGAATTCTGTTTGCCACTTTTTGGAAGGCATCAATTGCCAATGTTATTTTCAAGCCAAATGCAATACAATGATTGCTACAATTGTTTCTTTAATGTTTGCGTAACCGCCAATTTTGGGTACGTTTATGAACAGTTACGGTGACTAAGTGAATTGTTTTGTGTCAGTTAAGACTCGGTAGTATAATCGTTTATTGAAATTAATAAAAAAGTTTTTTTTTTCAAAAAAAAAAATGCCATTCTATTACCTAAAAAACAGAACGTGTTCACAATACGATAATCATTAATAAATACCTAAATTTTACTGCGCACGAACTTGTGTGCGTGTTAGTTATGAATGATCGCGAATGAAAATAAATGAGTTGCGTATAATTCACGCACTTTTTGAGATAAGTTCAAATGAATGTTATCAATTACTTAGGAGTGATTTTAAATATTTTTCATTTTTTATACAACATTATGTGCGGGAAGTCCATGGATGCAGGTGGCTCAGGATCGTACTTCGTGGCAGTCTATGGGGGAGGCCTATGTTCAGCAGTGGACTCAAACAGGCTGAAATGATGATGATGATGATATAATGTTATTTATGTCTAGAATTTAATAAAAAACTGGACACACTTAGAAAAGCCACCCTGTATAGGAGAGTGAGGTAAATAATTGTATACAACTATCAGACAGCAACTTAGTTGCAAGAAATAAATGAGCGTTAAGAAAAGCTTGTTTAATATGAATAACAACATTAGTCAAGTCTGATAAGAGACAAACAACATTAAACGTTATCTGCTTGGCGGAAGGGGTTAATAACTTGTTTTTCAAAAGCAGGGGAACCGACTTACACAATGAGTAGTAGTATCCATGGATAACCACACAGTGGTATTGCAGTTATGTTGTCAACCATTAAGAAAACACTTTCCGGGCACCTCGCTCGTCAAGTGAAACTCAAAAATATCCGAGCATCTT